GGTCACCTGTTCAACCATCGTCGAAAATAATTTGAAATTCGTCGCCGCAGATGCCATGATTATTATTCTCTCTTAATTAAAATTCCTAGCAAACTATTAATATATATTTCTATAGAAGCTAACTACAACGAATCTGTTTTAGTACAGCAGGTCAGTCATCTGGTTGATTAAGATTGTGATGACACTAGTGCGGGTACCCAGGAATCCTGACATGTTTACGCTAAGCACGGCTAGTGACCTTGCGTAGGTACCTCACGAGTGGCCATGAGTAGTCTGCGGGATATGACCATTTTGTGACCCCATACTGGCCCGTAAGAGGTGGCTAGTGAGGCAGGCTGGAGAGATTTTTTGACCTGTGACCTGGTACTTGATGTCTGGGGCTTGCAATGCCTTGGTCTGTTACTAGCCTAAACATGTTGAATCGCATATTCAGAGATTATTTTGAGCTGGCACATATTCATGTCACATTAATTATAAATGTCACTTACCTGCTTAATAATTAGCACAATTTTTGGAGGACCATTTATTAATAGGTACTTTAAGACCTGGTTGATCTTTCCAGAGGCCACTGGAGTCTTTATCCAGCCTATGGGATCACTAAGGTCTTGATCTTGTTTTCTATGACTAATGGGTCCTATCATGTTTTCGGTAAACCAACTGGGTTGTGTCCACGATCAAAGGACCACTTTGTTTAAAGACCAAAGACCAATTTGGCTTTGGGTGAAATTTATCAGTTAAAGGTGGACGACCTAAAGGCCACAGCAGCTGCACCCTGTAGCCATTCCTTTGCAACGGTCCGTTTTATGTCACAAGTAGCTGAAACAGGAAATGTGACAACGGGTAACACATGCCCTAACACCATATGATCCACTATATCACTCAGGTATACGACACCTGGTGAGATCATGTGATTTACCTGAGGTGGGCGGTTGGCCCGCTGATCACGGCATCGATGAAGGTTATATCTTTATTTCTCTGACACACCTGACCTTATCCACTGCGGTGAGCCCAGTGAGGGCGGGGAATGGGGCTAGGCCTGGGGACACCTGGTCCCAGAAGATGAGGAGTTACACAAATAACCTGCACATAAAAGACAGAAGCTTACGACGACGTTTCGGTCCGACTTGGACCATTGACAAAGTCACACTAACAGAGGTGGAGCAGGACGGCTATATATAGGCAGGAAGAGGTGGAGGTAGTAGTAGTGGTAGTAGTAGTAGTAGTAGTAGTACAAGAATAGTATATAATACCGACAGGATGAAATGACACATGCACAACACCCGGGCATCCCCACCGTAGACGTTTCGCCATCCAGCCAGCCACTGGATGGCGAAACGTCCACAACAAAGACAACCAGATGCCGCACATGTGTCTAATTTCATCAGTAGATGTAGTAGAAGAAGAAGAGGTAGTAGTAGCGGTAGTGGTAGAAGTGGGAAATAAGGAAGACGAGCCAGTCAAATACAAAGGAAGGGGAGCACTGCAAGAGAGCTAGAAACCCAAAGAGGGAGAGCAAGCGCACCGAGGTGCGTGAAAGGGGAAGTGGTGAAATAAAATAAAGAAGGAACAGAAACACGAGACAGGAGAGAGAAAGACAACCCAGAGGAGAAAAGGAGAGAGGAAAGGGGAAGAGGAAGAAGAAAAAGAAGGAGAAGAAGAAAAAATGAGGATTCAGGTTAAGTCACGGGTGTTCTGAAGTTTGGAGCATTTCATAGACTCTGCCCTCTCACGTGCTAAATGCAATTTCTTCTCTCCCAAACTCTCTACTCATGGGAACTCTTCTATCCTCTGCCTTCCCTACATTTCCGGTCTTTCTAATCTCAACAATTCTCTCCGTCCCTTAGACATCAAGCTTACCTTCCGCCAGACTAACACTCTTCGCACTAATCTCGTTCATACCTCTCCTCCCTCTACAGATGTTCCTGGTGTCTACTCTATTTCTTGCTCCTCCTGTCCTCTTCAATACTTTGGAGAAACTGGTCGATCTCTTTCTGACAGACTTAGAGAGCACAAAAATAGTGTTAGGCTTGCCGACACTAACAATGCTCTTTTCTGTCACGTCAGAGATCATAGCCATCCTATTGACTGGTCTTCTGCTAAAACTGTCTTCCCTACTTCCAACTCGAACAGTCGCCGTTTAGTTGAATCCTCTCTAATACACAACTTTCCTTGTATGAACCTTAGCCCTGGCTTCGTCTCAGTAGATGCCTTCCTCTCCCACTACATTGTAAAATGCTCCAAACTTCAGAACACCCGTGACTTAACCTGAATCCTCATTTTTTCTTCTTCTCCTTCTTTTTCTTCTTCCTCTTCCCCTTTCCTCTCTCCTTTTCTCCTCTGGGTTGTCTTTCTCTCTCCTGTCTCGTGTTTCTGTTCCTTCTTTATTTTATTTCACCACTTCCCCTTTCACGCACCTCGGTGCGCTTGCTCTCCCTCTTTGGGTTTCTAGCTCTCTTGCAGTGCTCCCCTTCCTTTGTATTTGACTGGCTCGTCTTCCTTATTTCCCACTTCTACCACTACCGCTACTACTACCTCTTCTTCTTCTACTACATCTACTGATGAAATTAGACACATGTGCGGCGTCTGGTTGTCTTTGTTGTGGACGTTTCGCCATCCAGTGGCTGGCTGGATGGCGAAACGTCTACGGTGGGGATGCCCGGGTGTTGTGCATGTGTCATTTCATCCTGTCGGTATTATATACTATTCTTGTACTACTACTACTACTACTACTACCACTACTACTACCTCCACCTCTTCCTGCCTATATATAGCCGTCCTGCTCCACCTCTGTTAGTGTGACTTTGTCAATGGTCCAAGTAGGACCGAAACGTCGTCGTAAGCTTCTGTCTTTTATGTGCGGGTTATTTGTGTATCGTTCCAGTCACGGTATTGTGCCTTTTTGTTATTTATAAGATGAGGAGTTACTTGTTCTTCCTCCCATGGCAAACAGGTCTCAAGACACTCCCCAGACAGGGAGCTAAGGCCGGGTCACCGTCTGGAAAAGACCCGAGCCGGGGGAGTACCGACGAATCAAGAAGAAAATGAAGACTTACCTGGGTTTGTATAGTTGGAACCAGTGATACTACCATGTCGTGTAGATGCCAATTTCCAATGGCTTGATTGAAAATATAACCGCTGCATGCCAATGATACACGATTTCGTCTACATTTTTGTTCATCAATTTAGTAACGTTGGACGCCATTTTGGAATGCTCTAGACATTTAGTCGTACATACTAACATTCTAGTTCATTGCCCACTTAGACTCTTCAGTACACAATACACTCGTCGACTCGTTTCATCGTTACTCGACTTCATCCCTTCTCCACAAGATCAACTAAGGAATGTTCAATATGTCTGTAGTTAATGTACCACAATAGGAAGAGTTACTGGCGATGCCTCGCTTGGTAGAGTTTCGTACTTTGCTGTTCAACGCAAATTATCAGCTGCAGTTCTCCCTTGATACAACATATAAATTAAAGTTATTATGACGGGCACTTCTAACCTCTAACAAAGTTATGGCCAGAGATTTCTACATTCAGCGCAGCGTGAACTCGACCGGTAACCTCTCTCAGTAACTCATTCATCTACAACTCAATTCTGTTACAGACGCTATTCCCCAGTTCCTCTCTCACTCACTCTGTTGCTCTGACCTAACGCCGCCAGCTTCGCGTTACATATAGAGGGCACGAAAAACATTCACTGGTGTAATGTACAGAAACTCTAGCTGCCAGTTTTAGCGACAGTCTAAGTCAAAGAGCAAAGACTTCCTCGACTCAGAGGTGCTCTTCTTAATTTATCCTACTAGCTATATATCTAAGTTAAAAGCTTACTATTATCTTATCTAGAATGTCTTGTTTTTACTCCATGAATTGTTGTGCGACCCCCCCCCCTTCCCCCTCCTTTGCAGTGTAGGTAAGAGGTAGGGGTCATGGCCCCCTTCTTCTCCCTTTGTTGGAGGTAATTTCTCCGTAAATATTTTCAAAGCTAATCTGTATAATTTTAGTCATTGATCCTTAGCTTCAGAACACAATCTTTAAATAAAAAAAAAATGTTAGGTAACTTAGTGTGGAAATTTCTAACTGCACTTCCAATATATCATATTAGCAAATAATACTAGAACACAAAAAGTTGTCATTATCAAATATAAATTTACATTTAATTTGCTATACCATTTGTGACTCCTAAAACATCCGTCATCACCTCACTTGCCACTACAAGACACTGCTTACTCCAGCTTCTGCTTCATACTGACCGAAGCTACGGAGTAGAACACAGTGTATCTGGAGTTCTGGAGAGAGTTCCGGGGGTCAACGCCCCCGCGGCCCGGTCTGTGACCAGGCCTCCTTAGGTCAGTGTCTCAGGATGCGACCCACACCAGTCGACTAACACCCAGGTACCCATTTTACTGATGGGGAACATAGACAACAGGTGGAAAGAAACACGTCCAATGTTTCTACTCTGGCTGGGAATCGAACCCAGGCCCTCACCGTGTGAAGCGAGAGCGTTAACCACCAGGCCACCAGAAACTGGCTTCTTAAAACTTCTTCTAAATTTAAATCGGAAGGCGTGATCACCTCATGTCCACCTCTCGACGACTTCTGTTGCCTCCTCTTTATTTGGACTGAAGAAGCCTGCAGAGCAGGCGAAAGGTATCGTCACTAAAGATTGCAAACTGTTGCACATGTGTCTTTCTCAGCTCCTTGTTAGTATTATATATAATTAATGTAATTACCATCCACACTGATACACGCTATGAACCGTCTGAAGAACACCATCCAAACACTGATGAACACTACCATCTGATGAACACCTTCCACACTTTGATGAATACCGCCCATCCACCGATGACTACCATCCACACACTGAAGAAGAGCATCCAACCTCACATGAACACTATCAACTATCTAGACTCGATGAACACTATCCACCCACTGATGAACACTATCCACCCACTGATGAGCACCATCCACACACTGATGAACACCATCCACACACTAACCTCAGAATGAAGGCGAGGATCATTGTGATCCTCTCAAGAAAGTGGTTGAAGAAGAGGATGCCAGAAGAGCAGCCGATCAAACTGTAGAACATGCAGAAGATCTTTCCTCCCTGTGTCTTTGGTGAAGGTATTCCATACCCTGTGTGTAGGAGAACATTCAGTAAACAACACTACAGTTGTTACTGCATACTACTGCTGCTGTTGCTGCTGCTGTTGCTGCTGCTCCTGCTGCTACTGCTACTGCATGCTACTGCATGAATGTTACTACTACTGCATGCTGCTGCTCCTGCTGCTGCTGCTGCTACTGCATGCTACTGAATGAATGTTACTACTACTGCATACTGCTGCTGCTGCTGCTGGTTTATATAAATTAGACTCATTTATAATTAATAAAATTTGGTTAGAGTTTAATAATACATTGGACAAATAATAAACCTTATTTCTTGGGTAGAATATTTTGTTAGTGGGATGTCGTGAGGACCTGTCTAGTTGGACCAGCGGACCTACTGCAGTGTTCCTCTTTTCTTATGAGTCCGGTATTGTCGCGCGTCAGGTGTTTCTTTGTTTTGGGGGTTGACTGTGAGGTGTAGTCTAAGCCCTTTAATTGCCTTCCTTTGATGTATTACTTTCATAGTTCCTTGACAATATGAGTAGTCAAGAAAGTGCTTGGAATTTCACTACTCTTTCACAGTGGTTGTTTTGCATATTTTAAAATCACCTGTTTACTGTGATCTTATTGCATATATATATATATATATATATTATATATATATATATATATATATATATATATTATATATATATGTAGACAGCCTGTACTGTCTGCACAGACAGCCCATGCTGTCTGCCAGCTTAGTTCATATTTTGCACCATGCTGGTGCTGCCACCTATGGGCGTTGCCACTTCAGCCTGCCTGCCCTTGCCTCACTCTCACTCACACAGCGGCCTAGCAGCAAGACACAAGGCCTACTAGTAGCTCTCTCTCGTGGGATGGCCCCTCCCGGGCCATGCACACAACACACAAGCCTGTGTACCTACCACGACTTAACAATAAAGTAGAAGCCTCTGAAGACATATATCATTTGAGCCCCTCTACCATACTACCAAATAATCCCGTTATAAATGGTGGAAAGCGGTGGTCGCAGCAGTTGTTTGCCCAGAGAGAGGAAGGAAAAGGTATGAAGTCATCTTCACTTCATCACCCTATACAAGAAGCATCCGTCTCTCAACGAGTTATCCTGATGTCATGTCTGCACTTTTGAGCATCCAGACACAGGTACAAGCAGGATCCAGCCGAAATTTACCGAATTTCTTCGAGAATTGTAAGTGGCATCCCAGCGTCCCACGCTGTTTCTCAAGTCACGTGTTCAGCATCACTTGTATGTTGCTGTTGTTGTTCAGCTCAGCACAGCTGTTTCAGTAAGCCAGAGGTGAGTTTCATGGTGATTTCTGCATCCAGTGTGTTTCCCTGTGTTTGTGGGTGGGAGGAGGAGGAATGGCCAGATGCTCCCTCGCCATACACTCATCCACGCTCCTCGCCACCACACTACCATACACCACTCACCACTGCCCACTCCCTCTGCTGTGTTTTCTGCTGTTTTTCGTGAATTCATTGCCAGAGCTGTGTATCCGAGTGCCCAAGGCCATTCGAAGCTATGTGGATCAGCATGCCATGTAGATTACGACACCACATGGATCCCTACGCCACGTGGGTGTGGGCGATGTCATGTGGATCTACAAACCACGTGAGTTACCGAGCCAGATGTCCCAAGCCTCATGCTGTGGTCTGCTGCCTGCATCACATCGACGTCACCCCACGATGCTGGCCGACTTCATGACGTCATGATGTCTGCCTGATGTCACCTCGAGATGTCTGCTGACGTCACCTCGAGATGTCTGCTGACGTCACAGTGCTGCTGACGTCACCTCACGATGTCTGCCTGACATCACCTCGAGATGTCTGCTGACGTCACCTCGCGACATCACATGATGTCACCATCGAGTGTTTAGTAATTGTTTCAGTATTGTCGAGAAAATTGAGAGAAGATATATGTTGTGTGTTAATTAATTCCTCTCAGTCAGTGTTCTCACATGTTAGTGTATGCACAGAAAAGCATCATTTGCTAGTTTAAGCCATGTTGTACCGCATGTACCACGGGTGTGTTTAAAGTTTCCGTATGTCCAGTGAGGTCTGAGCCAGACCTGAGTAGCACCACTGTGCTAAGTCACCCGATGTGACCAGCGCGTATGACAGCTGATGTCAAGACAGCCCCGAGTGACCGAGCCCTCTTGTACAGAAAGCTTTTATGCTCGTTGCTCGTGATGTTCTGCAGAATCGTACCTGCTATGATTCCCATCGAGATTTGTTTCACTTCACCTCCAGACCTTCAGAATGCAGTTATATGTAGAGAAACAAGTCTGGGGATGCTTAGACTAACCTCTGCTATAACTCTAACTGCCGAGAGAATGATACTCGCCAAGCCGCAGTTAGCCACTGTCGGCAGGCGCTGTGTCAGCCTCGTGTCACAAGCTTCAGTGAGCAGCCTGCACAAAGAAGATGTCACTTTGACTGTTAGCTTGCTCACTGCAGTCTGGTGTATGATGTTATGACTCCCAGATGTTTCGCCCAGTCATCTCTGCCACAACTCGCTCCACGCTCGCTGGCAGTGACAGCCCAGCGACAGTACCAGCCGAGAAGTGTCCTCCTGAGTCACTTGCCAGAAGTCCTGCCCTGTTGCCGAGTTTGTCGACGCCTCACTCGAGGGCACCAGCATGTCATGCCCCAGGTTGAGTGAAACCTGCAGCGACTCCTACGATGTCTGCTTCACTGTTCCAGAGGAGACCGTACCCTGTTACGTCACAGCTCAGCTGCAGCGATGTCTCCCGTGTTGCAGTATCTGTCCAGATGCAGGAAGGCGTGCAGTGATGCACTTCGATGCTCACTGCCTTTGACCACGATGTTTAGCACACCCCATATGTTTTTTTCTTCCCTCCCTGTAGGAAGTTTTCTTTCCATATCCATATGTATATATATGTTTTTATTTTGCATTCTGTCCCCTGTTCCTACGAGAGAGACCGAGTTCCTTTTACCACCAGTATTGTCGCGTCGGGACGATGCGTGGTAGGTGGCCGAGCGTATGTAGATAGCCTGTACTGTCTGCACAGACAGCCCATGCTGTCTGCCAGCTTAGTTCATATTTCACGCCATGCTGGTGCTGCCACCTATAGGCATTGCCACTTCAGCCTGCCTGCCCTTGCCTCACTCTCACTCACACAGCGGCCTAGCAGCAAGACACAAGGACTACTAGTAGCTCTCTCTCATGGGATGGCCCCTCCCGGGCCATGGGCACAACACACAAGCCTGTGTACCCACCACGACATTTTCAATAAACAAAGAAGCCTCCGAAGACGTTTATCATTAACCACCCGCTACCAGCTACACCAAACAAACTCGTTATATATATATTTATATATATATATATGTATATATATATATATACGTGTATATATATATAGATATATATATATATATATATATATATATATATATATATATATATATATATATATATATATATATATATATAGATATATATATAATATATATATATATATAAATATAAATATAAATATATATATATATATATATATATATATATATATATATATATATATATATATATATATACACACACATATGCAAACAATCGCAGACAGGCGATTATAACTATGCAAGACAAGCCACAGGGGGTGGAAATCTTTAGCTAAAGATATCAATAACAATAGTGCGACTAGCCAAGGAATCGAATCCATGCTGCTTTGGCCTGCCTCATGGTGGGCAAAAACCATGAACGGAACCACACAATCCCTTTGAGTTTTCGCCCACCATGAGGCAGGCCAAAGCAGCATGGGTTCAAAGTCATGCCTGGATTGCATGCAATCTCTGTGGTAAATGGTCCCATGGGATACGCAGGAACTTTAAACCAGCAACCATTTTTGATATAAAATCAGTGAAATGTGTTTGGGTCTGCCCAAACGAGATAAACCTAGGGGGGAGGGAAATTACATCCATGTTATTAAAAGAAAAGAACAATAAATTATCCTTCTTGGAAAACATGTCAGCCTGGTATAACAGCTGGGAAAATAAAATGGGAGGGTCGGATGGGGCTGTCTTGGAGGGCACTCCCCCAGTGGGTGCTAGTGGAGATAGTGGCCCTAGTGATGAAACAGGTAAAGACAACGTTACATAATTCACAGAGGTACAAAGCAGCAATGCTGCTGGAGACGGGACAAAAGAGGATGATGCCTCACGGACTAGTGTTGACACATTACCAGTAAAAACTGGTGGAAGCACTGATGTCCATACAGCGGCAGTAGGTAGCGTGGAAACAGAAAAAAATGCACTAGCAGGGAACGCAGCCACAAAAAAATCCTAGCTAACAAAATTCCTAATCTATACAAAATCTATGTTTCGGGTACTGAATTCACAAACACAATGAGTAACTGTATGTTACTACCAACAGTAACAAAACCTACAAGAGTTACAGAGACTAGTGTTTCCCTACTTGACCACATCTGGACCAACACCATATCCCCTTTAAAATCAGGCATAATTACAGATAATACAACAGACCACTACCCTACTTTCCTCATAACAACTCTTGGTAAACTACCCCAAGACACTACTAAAGTCACCTTCAGACTTCACAATGAGGCAGCCATTAATAACTTCACAACAGCAGTAGCAAACATTGATTGGCACACTGAGCTAGAAATCTATACAGATATTGACGAATGTATTAATAATTTTCTAAAAAAGACCCAATACCTCTATAACAAGCACTGCCCTAAAAAAACTAAACAGATGACAGCTAAGAGACTGAACAGTCCCTGGCTAACACCCAGCATTCTCAAATCCATAAATACAAAACACCAATATGAAAAACAGTACAGAATGGGTCACATAACCAGAGACCAAACAAAACGTTACTCGTCAATCCTAACCAGCCTGATAAGAAGGGGAAAAAAATTGTATTATGAGAACAGATTATCCAACTTACGAGGTGATATAAAAAAGACCTGGAAAACCCTATCAGAAATTCTGGGAACAAAAAAGATATCACGAAATAGCGAAATAAA